GTTATAATAGTTATATTTTTTTATGATAGTAGTAGTAATTAGTAATGGGTTATGTATAATAATTATTACCAATTATCTATGATAGTAATGATTATTGATAGTAATAATGATAGTTATAGTAATAGTGATAATAATAATAGTAACTATTAATAATAGTTGACAGTAAATAATAATGATAGTAATAACAATAGTTGATAGTTGTTTCAATTATTAATGAAAATAGTATTAATGCTAATCATGATGATGATAATAATGATAATGATAGTAATAGAAATAGATAGTTATAGTAGTTATAGCAGTTATAGTAGTTATAGTAGTTATAGTAGTTATAGTAGTTATAGTTATCACTATCAATAAAACAATAATGATAGTTATAGAACTGTTGGTTAATGAGAGTAATAGTATTAGTAATAGTAATAGTAAGAGCAATAGTAAGACTAAGAGTAATAGTAATAGTAATAGTAATGATGGTGATGATGATGATGACGATGATAGTTTTTACTATTGTGATAGTTGAGAACATTATAGTTGAAAACCGCAACCAATTATGGTTGTCATGACCATTATGATTTTTACTAACTAGAAACCAGAAATAACTATCCCATCTACTATTCTCCATCTACTGCGGTTGAGAACTAGAAACTGTAATAATAGTAATTAATAGTAATAATCATAATGATAACGATCATTATTATAACAACTAAAGAAGATACTAAGGTTGTAACAATAATAATAACAACAACTAAGAAAAATGGTAAGAATAAGAATAAGAAGTAAAAGAAATGAAATGAAGATAATTTGCTACATAACTAGAAGTTCTATCCCAATGGTTATTCTAGTTTCTAGAGTTGAAACGAATATCCCAAAATAGATTGATTATGATATATATATATATATTTCTACGCTTACTATAGTTAGTTGTCCACCAGCAATATATTTGGAAAGATAGAAAAGTCAAATCCAGCAGCGACGGATTTTGCCACTCTTTTGGCAGCTGCTAACCATGGCAACAGGCTGTCTGTCCACAACCCAGGAAACTGTAGCATGTTCTAATCATTTTCTGGTTGGTGGTTGACCTACCCCTCTGAAAAATATGAAAGTCAAATGGGATGATGAAATTCCCAATATGATGGGAAAAATAAAATTCATGTTCCAAACCACCAACCAGTTTTGTACATTCCAGGCCGAAACTAGGCGTGGAAAGGTTTCGGCCCATCGCATGATCCACAAACTCTTTTCCAAGCGGCAGCTTTGGCCGAAACTTAGAGAGCTGAGACCAAAGCCTTCATCAACTCATGGCTTTTGCCCACCCTGGATGTCGTTTCCTGCATGACTTGTGATGACTTGTGAACCCGCGGTGTCAGAACTGATGATGAAGTCCCGTTGTATTCCCCTTGAATCCCAAACACGTTGATGGTTGAATATTGTTGAATCCCATGATGCCACACCTTTAGATACCTGTTAAATCACCATTCAAAAACCGCTTCAATCCCATTAAAATCACCATTAAATCCCATGATACAAGGCCCAAGGGCGTACCACAAAAATTCACCGCCAAGAGTCATCCAAGATGGCGCCAATGTGCGGATGGCCTGCCTCGTGTTTTCGCAGCTCCTCTGCATTCTGGGGGCCATTCACTTTGAAGAATAAACTTACTGGTGCTAAACGCAGGGAATTTTCGGGAATGATCCATAATCACTAGTAATAATCATCCCAGCAACCCTCAGCAACCCATCCATTCCCTGCGTTTAGCACCAGTAAGTAAACGATTTTGTCCTTTTCGGGTACCAGAGGAGATATATTTGTCCTCCCAGCCTTGCAGAAAAATCCACTTTCGTCCAAGCAGTGGGTTGTGGTCATGGAGCAAAAGTCTCAAGGACCCCCCAAAAGGTGCGAAGTTGAACACCGTGTAGCTGGTCTATTTAAGCGTACTTCGTCTTGGATGTGAAAAAGAGGGTAGCCGGCTTTTTCCCAATACCATATTACAATGCATTCTAGTCATTCTATCTGTATTTATATTACATATATATATATATGTCAAATCCGCAGCAAAATAATTGCACTCAGAATCAGAGCCTCAGAGCCAGTGCCCCGCTGCAAGCTGGGCCAGAAATATGTCTTACGATTTCCACTCTGATGGATCCCTCGCAGCAGTCCTGAAGGATGTTCACCACATTCTCAGGACATAGCATATTTGAAAGGCGCAACGCACAGGCTTCCGCCAGCCAAATCAGACCATATTGGTTTCCTGAAGGGTTGATGGTGACGGCTGCGTTGGTGACCGCACCAAGTGAGGAAGTGCGGAAAAACTGGTTTTGTGTTTTTTCGAATAGTTCACACCACTTGGAAAGTATATCGCCAATTGGAATCAGACCACAACCTGAAAACTCACTTATATTCAGGCCTCTACCGTATATAACCTACATTAGTAGGATGAGCCACCAAGATGATATCGTTGCGAGATAGATGTAATTTAGCCAGATTTGTGGTTGGTCTCAAATATGACCCAATATTCCCCAATATTCCATGATTAATTATTAATTTGGAGGGTCCACTAAAATCGTTACCCTCTGGTAAACTAACATAACTATGGAAAATCACCATTTCTAATGGGTAAATCAACTATTTCTATGGCCATTTTCAATAGCTTTTTGTATGTTTACCAGAGGGTATAATATGTTACAATTGGATACTGAAGTGATCATCCTCCAATTAAACAGCCTAGGGTGTTTAAAACTTTTCCAGGTTCGACATTAGTCCCGTTGTAATCCCATTGCTGGTAGATTTCAACAGTGCCCTTAACAGTCGTAACTGACTCAGAAAACCTCATTTAAGTGATATCTTTCACCTTTGTTGCTGGAGTTAGTTCATCCCATTTATCAAGTTTTTCATAAAATCGCTATACATCACTATAATTAAATCACTACTAGTCACTATTTATATCTATGTATCCTACTGTTTTCATGGCACTGCACTGAAAATTCATGGCTTCCGCCCTGCCCGAGAATCCCAGGCAGATGAGCTCGCCCAGCTGACTCAAGGGAATCGTCTCGGCGATGTCCCCCGTGTAGATGTACTCCAAGAGCTTTCGTAGGGTATCCTACTGGATCCGCGAGATTGGTGGCTTGTCTTAGTCATGGAAGCTCAAAGAATTTTTGGGGGTAAATCACTGAAAATATGATGGTCATAGTACTGGCCAATGCTCAAATACTTAAGTTGGGGATATGGACTTATAGTAACAACCATGTGGTTGTGTGAAAAAAACTCGGGATTTCGATGTGTCTGGCTCAGCGGCCAAACAAATTTCCCAACTTGTGGTTGTAACCACAGCTATAAACGTCAAAATCACCCAACTGCACCTCCAAGTCTGACCCTTTTTGATCACCCAGAATCACAACATATCACAACCAAGGCGCTGTGGAAGCGTTCTGGATCACCACCCGATGTCTGATGCCTTCCTTCATATCGGTACCTGCGGCAAAATTGCGGTGAGTCTGTGCTAGATTTCAATTTTTGCTTTCTTTAGTACACGCTTTGGCTGGCAAAATCTCAATGCTACGACATTTCCCCACTTCTGCTGAACTTCTGCCAAAGATCTTGCGGAAAAACCATTGATGGTAAGCAACATGTCCGTATGTGCTTTTGGATTTCAAGTCTTTGCTGGTTGAAACCATCTTTTTTTGGCAAAGAATTATTTTCGTTGCAAAAGAAATTTCGAAACATCTGAAAATGGTGGATATTCATTGCCATTTGAATTGAATGGGAAACACAATAATTCATCAAAGTTTTGGGGTTAAGTGTTCAGGTACCCCAAAACATCTTGTCAGTTTATCAATCCCACACTCCCAGTAATCCCCATGATATCCCCAACTGTTGGTTGATCCCACATTCCTAGTATCAATCCCCATGATATCCCCATTAAGTGAGCATTCGGTTCTCGCGCCATGGTACTGAGCATTCGGTCAAAGACCTCCGAACTCTTCGCGAGCACGGCTCGATGACAGTGAAGCTCTGTCTGGGCATCGTCACCAGCGCACATCACCAGATCTGTGAACTTCATGTCCTGTCAGGACCCAAGGCTGGTGAAAATGATTATACCACATGCAATGTGGGCCCCCCCAGTGATGGAACGATGGTTTATAAACACCATGAATACTATAGTTATAGGTACCATAAACCATAGTGACATTGGAGTTATAAACCAACTTAGCTATCGTTTGGGGGCCCCACTTTGTGCCAATCTCAGATATGTGGTCCATGATTGTTGGTCCCATATCTGAGACTAACCAAGTAACGTAGCTAGCTATAGATTTGTGTCAACTTACCACTTGATTGTCCTATAAGCTGGCTAGTTGGTTAGTTGATATATCATGATATATCATGATATATCAAATATATACCCAATGTATGGAGAAAAAAAACTGAAGTTTTTTTCATCACTCATCCCGGGTATACCAAAATCTATGCACAGAAAATCCATCCAGGTGCCAAACAAAAGATCCCACCATTCTCCAGCATCCCGGTCCATCACATCCTGAACTGGAGGGGACCGGAACCACCGGAACCCACCTAGGGACCAAAGCGGGTTATTTCAGCGAACCAAAGGTCTGACACAAAGAACTTGGTTTTGCAGAAATCAACAACAAGGTGCTAGTTTCTTTTTCTAAACACCGCGCCCAACCCAATATACCCAATGCACCAACTTCTTACCCAACCCTCAAACAAGACTCACCAGTTGTCTTCAACCCACCATCCAACCCCCGACCCCCCACCTGCCACATCTCTTTGCCGTAATCCAACCTCCAGGGACAGATGGGTTCAATCTCCCATTTCTGTTACCCTCTGGTAAACAAACAGTTTGCTATTGAAAATGGCCATAGAAATAGTGGATTTCCCCATTAAAAATTGTGATTTTCCATAGTTATGTTAGTTTACCATAGGGTAGCTTCAATCAAGCCATCAACGTCCATCCACCGACCAACCCACCAACTTATCACTGATCCACTCTCATCCCACTGAAATTGAGAAAGAATCACCTGGTGTCATGATAAAAACATCATTGGTTTCCGTAATTTCAAATGGTTTTTCCATGGTTAACAAGAGTTTATGATAAAACATGGTAGATATATTTATACAAAAATTATACTTAATGCAACTTATACACCAATTTACATCACTGGGGTGCAGCACCCTGCCCAGTGTTTCATGGTAAAACCCACCCCCAAGGTTCGACGTTTCTCTCGGCGCCTTCGGCGCTTGTTGGGCTCCAGACCCAAGGCTTTGGGGTCGCACCACAGTTCTGCACGGCAGCGAAGGAAGCCGCCAGGGACGTACTTTTTGGGCACCAACATGCCGTCCCAACCGCAGGAGTCGCGGCCACCTGGTGGTGGATAGAGAAAAGGGCATTTCAGTGACACAAAATGTGGGTTTACCTGGAAAACTTAAGGATTTTACGGAAAACCCTGGTTGAACCAACAAAAAGCAACGGGGTTCAACTGACAGAAACTGTCATTTCACTGACAAACATTGTGATTAAATGATATTGAATGGTGTTTTAACCCAGCAAAATAATAGTTCCCCTTCGAACAATGGACTTAATCGATATTTACTTGACGAAAATGTCGATCCAACAAATACTAATTTGTTCACCAATTTGATTGGGTGATATATTGGTGAACAAATATCCCAATATATCCCCAGATAATTTGATTGGGTATTTTTACATAAATCAGCTTGGAATTACCTGAGGATTTTTTTTGGGATGTACTGGGATGCACGCATCTTAACACACACAAAGATATATATAATATAAAAATGTAATAATATAATCTTGTAATTCAAATTAATATAATAAACATAAAATCGTATAATGAAAAATAATATTTAATATATATATATATAGTAATATACAATAAAATATGATAATACAATATAATCTTATACAAATTAATATAACCCATAATATGATATAATAAAACACAACATAACATTATATATAGTATAATAAAATAAAATAGAAAAGAATAGAAAAGAATAGAACATAATAGAACAGAACAGAACAGAATAGAGAAGAATAGAATAGAATATGGCACAAAACAAAAATAACATAAAATAGTAAAATATTAAAAAATAAACATAAAACATAATATAATATTTCTAAATATAATATGATATAAACTGTAATAAAATAAAATATAACAAAATCAAATAATACCCAAAGACAAACAAATAAAATAAAACTAAAACATAACATAGCATTTAAACAACAATAAAATATAATATAATATAAGAATATAAAACACGCTCCTCAACTGAGGACAGATGAACCCTTTGCAGTCTTTAGGTGCCAGGCACCGAGGCAATGGCTGCACTTGGCAGCACTTCTCGGACTATCGCTGTTGTCAGGGCCCACAAGTTGTATTGGTGGCGGGGTGAAAGCCAGTTACTACGTGGTTACCCTCTGGTTATGACTAACATAGCCATGGAAGCCATGGCCCATAGAAATAGATGGTTTACCGAACTTAAAAATGGTGATTTTCCATGGCTATGTTAAATAACCAGATGGTAAACTGGCTAAAAAAGTCGCAATACTATACTTCGCGGGGCACTCATGATCACCAGGGTGTCCATGGGACGTCGTGAATATCTGCTCTGGAATTTCAGCATTTTCGCCTAGTAACCCTGGTAATCGTAAGTCACCGTTTCGTGGATTATCCGGTTGAAATAGATGGGTTACAAATTATAATCGCAGTTACTAGTCAGTTACGTAGGGTGATCCTCCAAGTAGTCAACTCACAAGAAGTGGCTTTGTCTGAAAATATGGTATACCATGGTATACCTCTAAATCCATGGGTTTATCAATGGTTTATCAAACTTGTCCCTTAAAGTACCCTTTTTCAGGGTGTTCACATTTCCTAACATCCCAACAGACCCGACGTCCCAAAACATCGACGTCCAAGCCACAGGAGTCGATGTAGCAGCCGAAGCCAAAGTCGTAGGATTCCTCTTTGATCTCAGCCTGGTCCCCACAACGTAGCGTGATGCGAAAGCGCACACTACGCACGCCCCACTCATCACCTGGGGCCATGGGATCCATTGAGTCATTCCCCCCTACGATGCTTAGCATCGTTTAGCACCAGAAAAGTTCATTTACCCGGCCTGGTAAACGTTTACAGTTTGCGAACTGGAGAATCACCATCTTGAAGTTCGGTAAATCATCATAAATCATCTATATATAAATGGTCCATATTTTCAATAGCTATGTAACAGTCATTACCAGAGGGTAAATTTCTTTAAATTCCTGGGATGTGGGAATTCCTGTGTTCACCCAGGGCCTCACGGCTTGGGACTCAGGACCCTCTTGATATGCCCGGAAACCGGTCAGTGTGCTTCAAAAAAAGAGGAATTGACAACAAGAACAAGACACAACGAAGTGTTCTGTACTAGTCAAAACAATTCCCAATTCCAGGGTTGATAGGAAAATCAACTATCACCTGCTGCATTTGAGGTCCTGTATCTGTTCTCCTTCAGTAAATCCACTAGCAGAACAATAAAAAATACCAACGGCAAGTGGCCGCTGTCATAGATGGGTGCAAAGACCAGATATGCCGACACACCTTTCCTGGGTCCTCTGCCGCACGACTTGCCACCCGGATAGATCTTCAAATAAACGCAATAGTTTCCCAGCAGACTGGCAGGGCTGTTCACATGTTCGCTCATGTTGTACTGCAATTCGGAACTCAGGGGCATCCTCGGGTGGTCTTGGAGTGAAATCTGAATAAACATATCAAAATATTGTACAGATAGTCAAATTAATGATCTCGAGTGGGTTTTAGATGTTTAAAACATATCATATCAATGTATGGTCTAGGATAGTCAATTGGAAACCACTCATTTGATTTTAGGGGAATTGAAAATGAAAAATCAACAACCGTTGAAGAAAAAACTGTCAGGCGGGATGATAATCCCAGGTAGGATGAAACTTGGAAGTAGCAACTTGAATTCGGATATCTGTCGTAGTATATATACTACAAATGAATCATAGGACATCACAGGACATAATGACGAATGAAAACAATTGGATTACAGTGTTTATTAAATTATGATAGTGTCTTCATCTGTTGTATACATATATTACATATACGTATAGATATAAATATATGTAATATCATGAACACAAAAAATCTGTACTCGACCACCGTCGATGAACCTGGCAGGACATAGTTCCATGATGTCAATGCCCCGCCATGGGTAGATCCCTCCATTTATCGATTGGCTTAGACAAAGGTTTTCGATAGTTTTCCAGCGATTCCAGCCATGATCTAATCTTCCAGCGATTCCAGCCATGATCTATTTACCAACCTGATCTTCCCAACTATCATGATGAGGGACATTGATTGTAATATATTGTAATTGGGATGATCATGGCATTACCATACAAAAAAAACAATGAAATCCAATGAAATGATCTTCCCGAGGATCATTGGTATTTTTTTCATTGATGGTTGCTTGGACAAATAGCTTCAATAGCTGAAGACATGAAAACAACCAGCGTCTTAATTTACAGTGGCACAGTGGTAAACATAGATGTACAAATTTATCATGCTAGGTGTAAAATATAATATAAGACCCTGAAACCACTTACCATTCACAAGTTAATTTAATTGTTGGTAGATCCCTATTTGATGATTACATAGTTATATAATGATTAATACTGTATACCCATTCATTGTACCCAATTTTCTTGGTCATACAATCTTCCCGTCATAGCATACGAGTCATTGGTGCCCCCACATCATAAAGTGATGATGATTCCAGATTCTCCGGATCAACCCAGCAGCTTAAAATCGATGGTATGTGTTGGTGGCTCCATTGTCCACCTAGCAGACCTAGCACTGCACTGCCGCTGGATGCTGGATGCGGTCTGCACAAGGGCGCGGAACGCGAGCTGTCCGCAGCGAGGCTAGGTGCTGTCCGTGTTTTTTCGAGCCAAGGGGTGTTTCGAAATCACCCAAAATCAGATGATTTTCTGGGTCGAACACCATGAATTGGATGAGTAGTGTTGGACGATTCTGGGGTCCCTCATCTGTTTTTGTTTTTTCTACTGTAACAGTTGTCGGAAAGCAAACAAAGCTGATGGTTGGACGACATCCCCCAGCATCCCAAGCTGGACGGGATATCTCAGGGCTGAGTCAAGTTTGAAGACATCCTACCAACCACAGCTCCAAAAAAGTTCCAAACGTAGTGAACCGAAGCCATGAAACCACCCATCCTTGGGGAATCTATGGGAATCTTGGTTTATTTTGAGCCAATCTCGTTTCCAGGGTTTTTTAAGAAACTCCTGAAGCCATGGGAATCTTTCAACCTATGGATAGCCTTTGGTTCAACAGATCAGCCCACTGGAATGATCCCGTTGTGAAATCAGCCAGGGCATCGATGGCTTTGAGCCATGAAAATTACATGGGTCAAACTGTGATGCAAGATTTTCTTGTTGATTAATTTTTGGTATATGATTTACCAAATGTGGTGATTGGAAAAATGGTATTTTTGAGCCATAGATTTTGGTCTTATTGATTGGGAATATATTAAGGAAAAAAACGACCCAATACCTATAACTGATATTTTGGACTAGCCCAAAAGCTATTCCAACAGCTGAGTTTACGTTACATGCTGTCATCCAGTCGATTCGACTATTTTTTAGAGAACCCCGGCGGCCTCCCGTGATGGAAATCGATCACCACTGGATCCGGCCACTCCTGCGGCGTCGTCGCGGGGTCGGTGCCACGGTCAACATGAAAATGCTGGGTGACCAATAAGACAATGTAAGATAATGACATTACGCACCAAAATAATGACACTACGCAGCAAAATAGTGTCACTACGCACACACCAGACAATCATAACACTATTGCGTAATAATTATCTTGTTATACATTGGACTATTAGACATTACGCAGCAAAATAACAGTAATGACAATCATAACAATCATCATAGCAACAATTATAATAACAATCATGGTCTAGCCAGACATGGCAAAAACAAACATAAGGCCGGCCGGGTCTAGCCATGACCTGACCAGAGATGGCTTAGTCCCATGGCTTATAGTTCATGGCTTCGTATTACCATCTGGTTATGACTAACAGTTTGCCATGGAAAATCACCATGTTTAATAGGTAAATCCACTATTTCTATGGGCCATTTCCCATGGCTATGTTAAATAACCAGAGGGTAACATGTATCAACCATTCAATGATTGGAGTACCCAATTTTGACCCAATAAAAATCCACCTCTGGCCTGGAGTATTGGTGGGCTGGACCATAGGATATGCCACTATCTGATATTGTTGTTTCATCCGTGTAGCAATACAGTAAACATAATAATGATGATGAAAATGAACATCATGAACATATCGGTATTGGCAACAATACTCAACAAGAGGGGTAGATAGCCAGCAAATGTCCAAGATCGGTAGTCGCCAGTGAAAATTCTCATCAACCAACAGTGGGATTAACGTTGGGATATACGACATAGTCAACCAACGTTGGGATTGTGGTTTAGCCAACAACGATGCGGTGTTTTTAAACGTCCAATTTCTGTGGATCTGTGGGTCTCGTTAAGGTTGGCTCGATTTTCACTTGTAGTGATATGCCAATTACCCTCTGGTAAACTAACATAACTATGGAAAATCATCATGCTATTAATGGGAAAATCCACCATTTCTATGGTAATGTTCAATAGCAAACTGTAAACGTTTACCAGAGGGTAAACTACATATACACCCAAGGTTGCTGCTGAAAATCTTTCAATTTTACCAATCCTCCACACATTTGTGAATTTCTTCTGGTGAAACCAGTGGCCACTGGAACCAAACCATGGGGAGACCTCCAGTAATTTTCTAGTCCCCCACTACTCAATCTGGTACAAAAGGTACAAAAGTCTACTGGTAATGGTAGAAAACATGTAATTTTGTACCATAGCTTCAGTCTGGCTGGTACAAAACATCTTGTTTCCACTTGTACTATTTGTGTGGCTCCAAGTTCGCCTGATGGATTGGTTCATTTTCTGAATAAGGGTGAACTCCTCCAACATGGCAATTCTCGTTGCGATCAACGCCCAATTCGGAGAGCTCAAGCCACTCCATTTCTTCTACGAAAAAATCCGAGCGTTTGTTGTTGTAGATTTTGAGCTATATATGATGGATATATGTTTGTTATCTATGGGATATATATCATATATCTATAAACATGATTTTCGGATGCTGAAAAATCCCCATGTTGTCGTTTTTTCAAGCAACATCATGTCTGTCTGCTGGAATTCCAATTTCTGTTGATAAGTTGACCACCAAAACCCCTCCCCACAGCCCAGGGTTTTGTCACACCTCTGGCAGGTGACTGAGTCGGGGCCGACCTAGGGAAAAGTTGGATAAAAGTTGGAAAAAAAGTTGGAAAAATGTTGGATCTCTGGTGAGATATTTATTTCTCGGTTGTCTATATAATCTATTACCAATAAGAAACTATCAGAAATAACATATACAGTATATAATATATATATAGGATATCTTTGGTGATATATCTGACAATCCTAAGATCCCAAAGCAGAAAGGGCGGTCCATGTGGCTTTCTGGTGATGATCCCCTCATCATGGCCCTCATGGTCTGCAGCTAATCCCATGGAACTCTTTCGCAATGGGAATCTCATAAAAAATCATGGGGGGTTCAAAGAACTCACCATGAGTTTAGTGGTTTTTCACTGGGTCCATTGATGTTACCCTCTGGTTATGACTAACGTAGCTATGGAAAATGGATGAAAATGGCCCGTTTCCAGATGATAAAAATGATGATTTACCTATTGAAAATGGTGATTTCCCAGTTCGCTACGTTAAAGAAGCAGAGGCTCATTGAATCGAAAACTGCGGCGAAAACTGGATCAGCGTTGCGGTGAGGCCAACGGGAATATCACAAAATGTCGCAAAAATTGAAGACATCATAAATTCACAGATGATTTTCCCATTCACAGTGAATTTATAGTGGCTTATTTATCAAAAATGATCTGTGAATTTTCCACTAGATTTAGGAATTGGCAATGGGAATAATAAATTCACCTCCATTTTCTAGTGGATTTCCCATTGCCACATAGATGATTTTCGGGACATATTCCAATATGAAATATCTTCGAGCGATCTTCGTCATCAATTCTGGGAATATCATTGGCAATCTTAGATGCGCAAAAATAAATTCTTAGCTGCTTAGTAGATATTCCTATTTATAGCAATAAATTAAAGTTTTAAACTACCCATCCAAGGTTGACCTAGATATAGTCTATGTGTATATTTGGCTTGTTCAAAACTTCAACGTACCATGCTTTTAACCCATGCCCATGTCCTCCCAGTCGTAGTGATTACTCCCATTGATCCCCAAAAGCCCTAGGATGCCGTGCGTATCTGTACTGGCACTCACACCTTTCAAGCAGCAAAGATGCCAACGGCGTGAAGTGTGTCAAAACCCTGGTACCCCTTCTGTTCACATCAAAATAGCTGGTAAATGAATGTTCATACCCCTAAAAATGGTATTAATAGGTATTGATCCATACCCACATGTCACCCATACAATGAAATGAGTTTAGTTGGGATAGTTGCAGAATACAGCGCATGTCCACCCACTACTAGCACCCCATTGCTACAATGCGTGGTGGCACGCACTTTACACATGGTTTCTTGTTGGTAGTATCATGCGTCCAGCGCTGGGAGTTCTGAGGGCTACACTATCCTAAACCATCCCTTTTGCAAATGAATTACTAACTTCAAGAATATTTCTTTAATCGCACTATCTCGATTTCGTTGTGAATCGAATTGAAAGGAATATCCTGTCAAATGAGCAGTGTCCTCTGTCATTCCATTTTGGTTGGTTAATAGGGATTCCCATACTGGGTTGCTATAATACCTGATGTATGGGGTAGTACAGTATAACCCCCAAACTGATCATCAGCCATATATAATCATATATGTACATATATATATATATATACATATATATATATTTATATATGTACATATAATCCAAGGTTTGATTAAAGCCGGTTATAAATCCCCTTAAATCAAATTCAAACTAGATCCCTAATATCCCATGCAGGGTGCCCCACGTGCCGCCGCCGGCCGCGCGGTGTAGCCGCCTGCCTGGCCGGGAAAACCAATAATGCCCATATAATAATAGTCAATATTATAAAGGAACATCATCAACAATAATGGAAAAAATATGAATAAATAATGGATGATTGGATTCATATCAAGAGTTGGGAATGATATGGTGGGGATACAAGGTTTTAATTTTTTGGTGGATGATATGGAAAATCAAAATCAATGATACCCTCTGGTAATGACTAACATAGCTATTGAAAATGACCATTTATAGTGGATTTTCCCATTAAAAATGGTGATTTTCCATAGTTATGTTAGTTTACCAGAGGGTACCTTTTCCATATCAACCAAATCAAGCAAAGCAAGATTCCAAGGGGTCAATGATATGGGAAAGGTTACAGTACTTGGTTTTTTTCAGAGCACAACTGGTGCAAACATTCCATGAAGCATCCCCATTCCGTCTGCAAAAATCCAATAGCCCCATTCTGATTAGTTTCATCCAACTATAATAGCCATAGTCCATAGGTGATTCCTATATAGTCACTTAATGTCACTTATAGTCTATCAGTCTGTCCCCGTCAAAGAATCCCTTTTTTTCCAGTGTTTTGGGCATTCTGATACAGTGATTCCATGGTAATTCTATATAGTAATTCCCAATATAGATGTTAATCCCAATATAGTAATTACTGGCATTATAATTACCATAAAAAAAGTGATTCCTAAAAAGTCGCTTATAGTCTGACTAGTCTATCACCAGTTTTTCTGGGCCTGTCTGAAAATAGGGCACATCCGATTCCAATGGATTTTTTTATAATTCTCCCCTGCCTGGCCAGGCAGG